TCAGCTGGCCGCTAACAGCTCCGGAGACTATTCATTCTTTTCTTTTTTCCCCCCCTATTTATTTATTTTTATTTTTATTCTATTGATTTTTTACAGAGAGGAAGGGAGAGGGATAAAGAGTTAGAAGTATCGATGAGAGAGAAACATGGATCAGCTGCCTCCTGCACACCCCTACCGGGAATATGCCCCAAGCAAGGTACATGCCCTTTCCGGAATCGAACCCGGGACCTTTCAGTCCACAGGCCCTCGCTCTATCCACTGAGCCACACCGATTTTGGCCAGAGACTATTCATTCGACTGGCCCCGGGCTGATCCCATTTGGGTCCCATGCACCCCCCTCACCTGTTCCCTGCCCTCCTCGCTGCTTCCCTCCCGGATGTGCTGTGCCCCCTTCCTCTCTGCCTTCCTGCTTTGCACCTCTCTGCATTCCCCCCACCCAGGTCCCCTACGTGGAGCTGGGAGGCAGGGTCCTGGTCATGGCGGTGTACGACTTCGACCGCTTCTCCCGCAACGATGCCATCGGGGAGGTGCGCATCCCCATGAGCTCCGTGGACCTGGGGAGGCCCTTGCTGGCCTGGCGGCAGCTGCAGGCGGCGCCGAGGGAGGAGGTGAGCGCGCGCGGCCACGCCCCCGCTGATGGCCACGCCCCTGAGCCCGGCCACACCCCACAGCCCCGGGCCAATCACATCACAGACCTATCCAGGGCCAATCAGATCACAGACCTATCCAGGGCCAATCAGATCACAGACCTATCCAGGGCCAATCAGATCACAGGCCTATCCAGGGCCAATCAGATCACAGGCCTATCCAGGGCCAATCAGATCACAGGTTCCAGACCCGGGCTCCAGCCCTCGCACCTACCTTCCTGGTGTTACCACTGGACCCGCGGTTGGCAAACTGCAGCTCGCGAGCCACACGAGGCTCTTTGGCCCCTTGAGGGTGGCTCTTCCACAAAATAGACCAAGGCCTAGGCGAGTCTATGTTGAAAAAAGTGGCGTTAGACGAAGCTGAAGTTTAAAAAGATGTGGCTCTCCAAAGACATGTCAATCGCTGTGCTGTGGGTGGTTGGCTCTATGGACTGGTGAGTTTGCCGACCACTGCTCTAGACCAGCTCATTCCAAGGCGGGCGGGGGGGGGGTGTGGCGGATGTGCAGGGGGCGCTCCGGTGACGGGTCCCCCTCCGATCTTCAGCAGGAGAAACTTGGGGATATCTGCTTCTCCCTCCGCTACGTCCCCACTGCCGGCAAGCTCACGGTCATCGTGCTGGAGGCTAAAAACCTGAAGAAGATGGACGTGGGAGGGCTGTCAGGTGTGTGGGAGGGGAGATGGGAGGGCGGTGTAGGAGGGGCCTTCTGGCTAAGGGTCCGAGGGTCTCCTGGGGGCGAGGGCGGTCCAGGCTGCCTTGGGAGGGTATAGATGGATGTGGGCACCCCCAGAGGAGACCTGAGGGGTGCATGGGGCAGCTCTATGCTGTTCCAAAGCAGTCTCCCGCGTCCCCCTCGATCTGATCCCTCCACTGAGCAGGGGGGACGCCTCCCCTCTCTCCCCCAGATCCCTACGTCAAGGTCCACCTACTGCAGGGCGGCAAGAAGATGCGGAAGAAGAAGACGACCATCAAGAAGAACACGCTGAACCCCTATTACAACGAGGCCTTCAGCTTCGAGGTGCCCTGTGACCAGGTCCAGGTGAGGGAGGCCTGCCGAGCGCCCGCGGGGCAGCCCCGGGCCCTGAGGAACCCCGCTGCTAGAGGAAGGGAGACTCCTTAGCTTCCTCCAGAAACCGGGGGGCCCCAGGTTGTGTCCCCAATTCACTCCTAGGAGGAGCGGGTTACCCCGCCCCAGGGCAAGACCAGGATGCCCCGCCCCCTCAGGAGCCATGGTTACTGAGACCAAGGTTTCTCCACCGCTTTAGGGACAGGGCCCTCCACTCCTTTAAAAGTCCCGCAGGTAGCCTGGCCGGTGTGGCTCAGTGGTTGAGCGTCGACCTAGGAACCAGGAGGTCACGGTTCGATTCCCTGTCAGGGCACAGGCCCGGGTTGTAGGTTCGATTCCCAGTGTGGGGTGTGCAGGAGGCAGCCGATCGATGATTCTCTCTCGTCATTGATCGTTGATGTTTCTATCTCTCCCTCCCTCTCCCCTCTGCCCGCCCAGAAGGTGCAGGTGGAGCTGACCGTGCTGGACTACGACAAGCTGGGCAAGAACGAGGCCATCGGGAGGGTGGCCGTGGGGGCCGAGGCCGGCGGGGCGGGGCTCCGGCACTGGGCGGACATGCTGGCCAACCCCCGGCGGCCCATCGCCCAGTGGCACTCGCTGCGGCCCCCCGACCGAGTGAGGCCGCTGCCTGTGCCCTGACCCCTCCTGGACACCCCTGACCCCGGACTCCTGGCCGACGCCCTGCCCAGGCCCACCTGTAAGCCTTCTCAGGCACCAACCCCACCCCACCCCTCCGCCCCAACCACCTGGCCCATTCCTGCCCTCTCGCCCCCATTATGCCAATCACCATAACTTGCCAACTCCCCACCGCACATTCCCATAAGCCCCAGGGCCCCTTGGGGAGGGGAGCAGCTTGGTGTTCCCCCAACCCACCCAGGGTCCCCCCACTCTGCTTTGACAATCAGTGATACCATTGGACTGTCCCCTTCGCCCTACACAGGATCAGCCACCCTGCCCCATTCCTGCACTGCTCCTAGGGCCAAATAAATACTCAGCAATGTGGTGGTGTGACTGGGTGCTCCTTGTTGGGGGTGGGCAGGGGCCGGGCCGGGGCCCAGGAGGGAACCTCGCCTCCAGGAGTGGGGTCACACAAGGGCAGGAGGAGGGCTGTCCATCCTCAGTACTTGCTGAGGGGAACTCCCCTCCCACCCACCACTCATTCATCCAACCACCCATCCAACCACCCACTCACCCATCCATCCATCCATCCATCCATCCATCCATCCATCCATCCACCCATCCATCCACCCATCCATCCATCCACCCATCCATCCATCCATCCATCCATCCATCCACCCACCCATCCATCCACCCATCCACCCATCCATCCATTCATCCATCCACCCATCCATCCATCCATCCATCCATCCATCCATCCATCCATCCCTTCCTTGCTGAGAGGAGTCCGTGAGAATGTACCTCCTTGTTCGGGAATTTACCTTGACTTGTCTGAGGTCACACGGTGGGGTGAGAAGAGGCCACAGAGCGCCCGGGCCCCTGGGGCGCTGCCCCCAGTGCTGGGGGTTGGAACTGCCCCGAGGACATGTCTCCTTTAAGTCTCTGACCCTGTGCGACTCACAGCAGGCTCTCACCTGCCCACGGCCTCTTGGCCAGCAGGTAACGGACAACACGGGAACCCACACGTGTCTGACCCCAAAGCACATTGTCGAGCATCCTGGCGTCTGGCCCCTAGACTGCAGAGTAGTGGGAGCCCTGGCCCATGTGGCTCAGTAGATTGCCCATTGTCCCACGCACCAGAGGGTCGCCAGTGAGACTCCTGGTCAGGGCATGAGCAAGGGTGTGGGCTCAATCCCCAGGAGAGCGTGTCCCGCAGGCAGCCCTCCCATGTCTCCCTCTCCTTCTCCCTCTGAAATCTGTAAAAACACACTGAACAAAATAAAGCCCTGTGAGTCCCCGGGGACTGCTTTGGACTTCCGCTGGGAAGGCAGGAGCAGAAGAAACGTGGAGGATGGTCCCCAGCTGGGGCTGAAAGGATGAGCTGGATTTCTCCGGGGGGAGAAGGAGGAAAGATGTCCGCAGGAACAAAGCAAAGAACACAGCCAGCCCTGGAGGCAGAGGACGTGGGTGCTTCCCACCATGTGCTGTTACCAACAGTCTGAAGCCCTGGTGTGTGGTTCACCCATTCCCGTGGTGTAAATACTCCCGCTCCTCTGCGGCTGACTTCACGCCCCCAATGTGAGGTCACTGAATACGGAGTTGAGATTTCTGCTAGCGCGCCAGCCAACGTGTAATATTCCCCACGGTCAGGACAAGGATCCAGAAATTGAAGGCAAAGCCAAACAAATAACAAATAGAACCCCTCAAAACAAAATGCTCAGTCATCAAGCTAGAAAGTACTTTAATGCAATGTTTAAAAATGTGATGCATCCCTAACCGGTTTGGCTCAGTGGATGGAGTGTCGGCTTGTGGATTCAAGGGTCTGGGGTTCAGTTCCAGTCAAGGGCATGTACCTTGGTTGCATGCACATTCCCAGTGGGGGTGTGCAGGGGGCAGTTGATCCATGTTTCTCTCTCATCGGTGTTTCTAACTCTCTCTCCCTCTCCCTTCCTCTCTGTAAAAAATCAATAAAATATATCTTTAAAAAAAGAAAAGAAGCCGGGACCGGTTTGGCTCAGTGGATAGAGCGTCGGCCTGCGGACTAAAAGGTCCCGGGTTCGATTCCGGTCAAGGGCATGTACCTTGGTTGCGGGCACATCCCCAGTAGGGGGTGTGCAAGAGGCAGCTGATCGATGATTCTCTCTCATCGATGTTTCTAACTCTCTATCCTTCTCTCTTCCTCTCTGTGAAAAATCAATAAAATATATTTTAAAAAAAAAAAGAAAAAAAAAAGAAAAGAAAATATACAACCAGGGTGAGTATTGGCTGGGGTGACCCTGAGTTTCCTGCCAGGTGAGAAGCGGGGTGTGGTAGTCCGGGTGTGAGGGTGGAAGGGGACACACACCTGTGTAGTTTGAGGCCTACGCCACCTCGGTTTAGTTTGAATTCATCACGATTCCGTCCGGTTCTTTCAAATTGTGAATCAGCTCAGGCTCCATCCAGCCCAGAAGCTTGGACTTCCCCAGGCTCCGCCCCAGCCTCTTCCAGCACCATCGTCGCCATGACAACCGCGTCCCCACGCCCTCCTTTCCGGCATGGACATGGACGAGCAGAGCCACGCTCCTATTGGTGCAAAGTTTGAAGTGGGCGGTTCCCACCCGCTCGCATTGGTGAATTGGTGGGGGCGGTGCCATCTCGCATGTTCTCATTGGTTGATTGACCCAAAGGGGCGGGGCTGTGGGCAGCAGTTGTGTGACAGGAGGGGGACCGCGGGGCTGCCCCCAGGAGGGAGGGAGGAGAGAAGTCCTGGGATATTTGAGCAGATAAAGGTGAGGGTGGGGGGGTCTCACCTGGCGGAAAGGGCGAGAAATCAGGGGCGGTGAGGGGAGGATGGGTGGGCGGCGCAGAGACGATGTTTGGGGGTTTCCTGATGTCTGTCCCGCAGGGCGATGACCACCCCGGTGGGCTCCGGCACGGGCTTCGGCTCCGTGTCCTGGTGGGGCCTGTCCCCCGCGCTGGACCTGCAGGCTGAGAGTGAGTCCCCCTCCCCGCAACCCCCACCGCAAAACCCCCCCAGGACCACATCTGCCACCGCGGCCGCCGTCCCAGATCGTGCAGTAACGTCCTCAGAGGTTCCAACGGCGGGGGGGCAGCCACAGGTGGCCTCGCTCTCTCTGAGGACTACGAGTCCCAGAATGCTTAGAGGCACAGCTCCTTTGAGAACCTACGCTGGGGTAGTGCAAGTTCTGCTGGGAGTTGTAGTCACCGTGCGAAGGGAGGCTGCAGATGGCGCTTTTCAGACCACGGACCGTAGCCCGTTGTCGCCTCGCTAGGTCCTCCCGTGGACCCGGACCCGCAGGCCAGTCCAGAGCCCGGGACCCCCGAGCTGGATGTGCTGCTGCTGGGTTCGGTGGACGGGCGCCACCTGCTTCAAACCCTGGCCCGAGCCGCGCGCTGGCCACGCAGGAGGTTTCACGTGAGTTGGGATGCGGGGGGTAAGAAAGGAGGAGGGCCGGGACCGATTTGGCTCAGTGGATAGAGCGTCGGCCTGCGGACTGAAAGGTCCCGGGTGGGTTCGATTCCCGTCAAGGGCATGGACCTTGGTTGCGGGTACATCCCCAGTTGGGGGTGTGCAGGAGGCAGCTGGTCGATGTTTCTCTCTCATTGATGTTTCTAACTCTCTGTCCCTCTCAATTCCTCTCTGTGTAAAATCAATAAAATATATTTAAAAAAAAAAAAAAAAAAGAAAGAAAGAAAGGAGGAGGATGAAGAGTCCCGCCCAGTCGGTGTGGCTCCATCCAGTCCAGTAGTTGAGCATCGGATCCAGGGAGGTCATGATTCGATTCCCGGTCAAGTGCACATGCCTGGGTTGTGAGCTCCATCCCCACTGGGGGGCGTGCAGGAGACAGCCGATCCATGATTCTCTCTCATCATTGATATATTTTATTGATTTTTTACAGAGAGGAAGGGAGAGGGATAGAGAGTTAGAAACTTCAATAAGAGAGAAACATCAATCAGCTGCCTCCTGCACCCCCACTGGGGATGTGTTCGCAACCAAGGTACATGCCCTTGACCGCAATCGAATCTCGGACCCTGGAGTCTGCAGGCCGACGCTCTATCCACTGAGCCAAACCGGCCAGGGCTAAATAAATTTTTTAAAATAAGAGTTCAGAATCCCCTACCAACAAGTGAATCTAAAAATAAAATGAATAAAAAAGTCTGATGAACAGAACAAACTGGTGAATGTGACAGAGTCAGGGGCAGGGAAGGCGAGCAGACTGACAACTCTCGGGGGGGAGGGAGTGTCGGGGATGTAGGAAGAGAGTGGACACAGAGCTTACACCTATGGATGAGGTCAGTGGGGGTGGGGGGAGGCCTGGAGTGGGGTGGGAACTGGGTGGAGGGGAGCTATGGGGGACGGGGAAGAGGAACATCTGTAATAATCTGAACAATAAAGACTTTTTTATATAAAAAAGTTCAGGTTCCCAAGTCCCTGGGGGAGAGGGAAGCTGGGGGCCTGACCCCTGGGTCTGAGGGAGGTGGAGGCTGGGGCCCCAATACATGCTCCTGGGGACAGAAGTTGGGGGTTCCTGGGTTCCAGCGGGAGAAGGAGGCCTAAGAGCGGGGCCTCCCGAGTCGTGCTGGGGAGCAGGGTCCTGAGGGGCCAGCCCCTGGTGTTTGAAGTGTGTGTGTGGGGGGGGTGTTAGTGTACAGGACTCCTGAGTCCTGTAGAAGAAGGGGCCCCTGGTCTTCCACTCCCCCAAGTCTCCTGGGAGTCAGAGACGCCGGTCTCAGAGCCACTCTGCCCGCCCGTCCGTCCTCCCAGTTCTACCTGCTGGAGAATAATCTGGAAGCGGTGGCCCGACACATGCTGTTCTTCAGCCTGGCCCTGGAGGATCCGGAGAAGATGGGGCTGCAAGGTCAGTTGCAGGGACCAGCGTGGAAAGCCCCCATCCCTTCCCCTTCCCTGCAGGGAGATGACGAGAGAAACATCGACCAGCTGCCTCCTGCACCCACTACCGGGGATGTGCCCGCAACCAAGGTACATGCCCTTGACCGGAATCGAACCCGGGACCCTTCAGTCCGCAGGCAGACGCTCTACCACTGAGCCACACCGGTTAGGGCTAGCCTTTCCTTTTTTAAGACAAAGGGAATGTGAACATGACACTCGGGATCGGGGTTATCGGGAGGGGCAGAGGGCTAGGGAGGGTAGTTAGGGGCGTGTAGGTCCTCTGCCCTGTAGCTATGGGGTGGGCGGATTTGCCGGGTTTATGGTGCTTGTCTGACTCCTGGTAAGACTCTGTAAAGAAAGCCTGTGCCATACAGAAGGCGCCATTCTGTCAGCAGGCGATGGGCCCACTCCCCGCTCCCCCATCCCTCTCCCCCGCCCGGCAGAGCGGAGCGAGGCCTTCCTGGAGGTGTGGGGGAACGCGCTGCTGCGCCCCCCGGTGGCCGCCTTTGTGCGCGCCCAGGCCGACCGCCTGGCCCGCCTGGTGCCCGAGCCCGACCGCCTGGCGGAGCAGCTGCCCTGGCTGAGCCTGCGCGCCCTGAAGGTGCCTCCGCCGCCCCCGTCACCCGTCACCCGTCACCCCTCACCCCTCACCCCTCACCCCTCACCCCTCTCTCCTCTCCCCCCACCCCTCATCCTTCCCCCCTCACCCCTCACCCCTCACCCCTCTCTCCTCTCCCCCCACCCCTCACCCTTCACCTCTCACCCTCCCACCCCCCACCCCTCACCCCTCTCCCCCCACCCCTCACCCCCCACCCCTCACCCCTCACCCCTCACCCATCTCTCCTTTCCCCCCACCCCTCATCCTTCCCCCCTCACCCCTCACCCCTCTCTCCTCTCCCCCCACCCCTCATCCTTCACCTCTCACCCCCCCACCCCCCACCCCTCACCCCTCACCCCTCACCCCTGGGCGCTGGGCGGCGGGGAGAATGGAGCTGGAGTCCCGGGAGTCTGAACCCCAGCTCCCCAGGTGGGCTTTGGTCTAGGGGGTGGCTTCTGCTTTCTGAGCCTCCGTTGCTTTTGTGTGTTTTTTTTTTTTTTTCTCTTTGCGTTAACCCTCACCTGAGGATATTTTTTTCCCATTGATTTTTATATTTTAATATATTTTTTAAAATATATTTTTTATTGACTTCAAAGAGGAAAGGGAGAGGGAGAGAGAGATAGAAACATCAACGATGAGAGAGAATCTTTGTCTGCCTCCTGCATGCCCCCCATCGGCCTGCAGCCTGGACATATGCCCTTGACTGGAATCGAACCCAGCACCCTTCAGTCTGTAGGCCGATGCTCTATCCACTGAGCCAAACCAGCGAGGGCGTTTTTTAAAATATATATTTTATTGTTTTTTTTACAGAGAGGAAGAGTAAGGGAGAGAAGTTAGAAACAACCATCAGCTGCCTCCTGAAAACCCCTCACTTGGGATGTGCCCTCAACCAAGGTACGTGCCCTTGACCGGAATCGAACCTGGGACCTTTCAGTCTGCAGGCAGACGCTCTGTCCACTGAGCCAAACCGGTTAGGGCAGGAGATATATATATATATATATATATATATATATATATATATATATATATATATATATTAATTTATTTCAGAGAGGAAGGAAGAGAGAGAGCAATAATGGGAGAGAATCATGGATCGGCTGTCCCCTGTACCCCCCACTTCTTCCCACTGGGGGTCAAGCCCGCAACTCAAGCATCAAACCTTGACCTCCTGGTTCACAGGTCCATGATCAACCACTGCGCCACGCGGCCGTGTTTCAGATTTTTTTTTTTTTTTAGAGTGAGAAGGAGGGAAGGGAGGAGGGAGACAGAGAGAGAGAAACATGGGTGTGAGAAGACACATCCACTGGCTGCCTCCCGCACATGCCCGGGGGGGGGGGGAATCGAACCTGCAACCCATGTAGGTGCCCTTGACTGGGAATCGAACCTGCGACCCTTCCGTGTGCGGGGCCAACGCTCTAACCACTGAGCCCCACCGGCCGGGCCAGAGAAAAGGCAGGATGGTGACCATTCCCTGGGGCGGAAGGGGGAGTCAGCCCCCCCCAAATCGCTCTCCCATCCCCCTCTGCACCCCCGGCCGGTGCGCAGTTCCGGGAGCGGGACGCGCTGGAGGCCGTGCTCCGCTTCTGGGCGGGCGGGGAGCAGGGCCCCGCCGCCTTCCCGATGCGCCGCCTCTGGGACCTGCGGCTGCGCCACTACCTGGGCTCCCGCTACGACGCCCGGCGCGGGGTCAGCGACTGGGACCTGCACATGAAGCTGCACGACCGCGGGGTGAGCGGCCGGCGGGGCGGGGCGGGCTCAGGCGGAGGAGGCGGCGGGGCCCCGGGCCTCACCGGGCCCCTCTCCCGCGCCCCAGGCCCGCGTCATCCACACCGCGGAGTTCAGGCGCTGGCGGGACACGGGCGTCGCCTTTGAGCTCCGGGACGCCAGCGCCTACCAGGTGCCCAACCGCACCCTGGCGTCCGGCCGCCTGCTGAGCCACGTGCGTGTCCCCGCCGCCCGGCCCGCTCCTCTGGGGGGTGTGGGGGGAGCCCAGGAGCCCAGGTCCCTGTCATCGACCCCGCCGCCCCTCGCTCCCTGCTTTCCCAGCGCGGGGAGCGCGTGGCCGCGCGAGGGTACTGGGGGGACATCGCCACGGGGCCCTTCGTGGCCTTCGGCATCGAGACGGAGGACCAGAGCCTCCTGCGGACCAACAACGGGCAGCCGGTCAAGGTGAGCGGCACCGGGGTGGGCGGCCAGGCCCCGCCCCCTGCACCAAGCCCCGCCCCTGTGCTCCAGGCCCCGCCCCTGCAGACAGGCCCCGCCCCCTGCACACAAGGCCCTGCCCTGTACTCCAGACCCCGTCCCTGCACACAAGCCCCGCCCCTGTGCTCCAGGCCCCGCCCCTGCGCTCCAGACCCCGCCCATATGTGCAACAGGTCCCGGCCCTGTACTATAGGCCCTACCCATGCACTCCAGGCACCGCCCATCTGTATAACAGGCACCACCCCCTGCACACAAACCCCACCCCTGTGCTCCGGCCCCGCCCCTCTGCACGACAGGCCCCGCCCCCTGCAACAAGCCCCGCCCCTGTGCTCCAGGCCCCGTCCCTGCACACAAACCCCGCCCCTGTGCTCCGGCCCCGCCCCTCTGCACGGCAGGTCCCGCCCCCTGCAACAAGCCCCGCCCCTGTGCTCCAGGCCCCGCCCATCTGCACGACAGGCCCCACCCGTAGAGTTCTGGGCTCCATCCTCTCCATTTCCTAAAACCAGTCCCGGGATCCGAGCTCTCTGCTCAGATGCCAGCTCTGGGGACTCGGGGGGTGGGGGGTGGGGGGTGCGGGATAAGGAGTGGGAGGGGTGCCGTACAAGCCCCCGCCTCCCAGGCCCTCACCCAGCCCCTGGCCACGCCCCTTCCCCCCACCCCCAGACCGCGGGCGACATCACGCAGCACAACGTGACGGAGCTGTTCCGCGCACTGGCCGCCTGGGGGCCCCCGCGCGCCGCCCAGAAAGACCCTCAGGAGGTGCCGGGCACCGCGAACGGAACCGCGGAGCCTGGTAGGCGCGGGACCAGGCTCTCCCCCTGGAGATGGGCGGCGGGCTCGGGTGGCAACGTGGACGCGTCATCACCTTCTGGGGAGAGAGGGACCCAGACGGCGCCCCGGGCTGCGGGCTCCAGGGGTTTCCAGCACCAGCGCGCACCGATCCGGTGCCCGGTGCCCGGCTCCGGGGACGGCCTTCCTGACGCCCGTACTCCCTCCCTCTCCTCTCTCTGGATCTCTCCTTGTCCTTAGCACCCCAATTCCAATGCCAGAATTCTGACCCTACTGCCCAGTCTGAGGCTGAGAGCTGAGAACGTTCTAGAACGCTGCTGGACCCCTGGTCCCCTTTGGCGAGACTCCCCTCTGCCCACGTCTGCCCATGCGCCTCCCAACCACCCCCAACCGAGCCCTGCCCGTGCGCTGTCCGGCCGCGGACCGCTGTCTTTCCCTCTCGGCCTCAGTGGCCTGGTCTGTAAAGTGGGTTTCTGCCTACCAGGCCGAGCGTCCATCCCGAGACCTCCCAGGAGTCCACGGGAGAGGAAGGCTGAGAAAGGGCTTCCAGAGGGCCACGGGGTGCCACCCCCCAGCCTTGTGTGCCCCCCACTAACGGTGCTGCTCCCCCCCCCAGCCCCTGGCCCGGCGCCCTTCACCCTCCACTTCCTGCCCCTCGGCTCTGACCAGACCCTCCACCACAAGCGCTGCTACAAGGGCCGGTTCCCGCTCCTCTACCTGGCCTGTGGGTAAGAGGGCCTGGGGTCCCCGCTTCCCTCTCCCTCCCTCCTCCCTCAGACCCAGGCCCCCAGCCTCCTCCCTCAGACCCAGGCCCCCAGCCTCCTCCCTCAGACCCAGGAGCCAGGCCCCCAGCCTCCTCCCTCAGACCCAGGAGCCAGGCCCCCAGCCTCCTCCCTCAGACCCAGGAGCCAGGCCCCCAGCCTCCTCCCTCAGACCCAGGAGCCAGGCCCCCAGCCTCCTCCCTCAGACCCAGGAGCCCAGGCCCCCAGCCTCCTCCCTCAGACCCAGGAGCCCAGGCCCCCAGCCCTCCTCCCTCAGACCCAGGAGCCCAGCCCTCCTCCCTCAGACCCAGGAGCCAGGCCCCCAGCCTCCTCCCTCAGACTCAGGAGCCAGGCCCCCAGCCTCCGCCATCAGACCCAGGCCCCCAGCCTCCTCCCTCAGACCCAGGCCCCCAGCCTCCTCCCTCAGACCCAGGAGCCCAGGCCCCCAGCCCTCCTCCCTCAGACCCAGGCCCCCAGCCCTCCTCCCTCAGACCCAGGAGCCAGGCCCCCAGCCCTCCCCCCTCAGACCCAGGAGCCCAGGCCCCCAGCCTCCTGCCTCAGACCCAGGAGCCCAGGCCCCCAGCCCTCTTCCCTCAGACCCAGGCCCCCAGCCCTCCTCCCTCAGACCCAGGAGCCAGGCCCCCAGCCTTCTCCTCCCTCAAACCCTGGAGCCAGGCCCCCAGCCCTCCTCCCTCAGACCCAGGCCCCCAGCCCTCCTCCCTCAGACCCAGGAGCCAGGCCCCCAGCCTCCTCCCTCGGGACCCAGGCCCCCAGCCCTCCTCCCTCAGACCCAGGAGCCAGGCCCCCAGCCTCCTCCCTCAGACCTAGGAGTCCAGGCCCCCAGCCCTCCTCCCTCAGACCCAGGAGCCCAGGCCCCCAGCCCTCCTCCCTCAGACCCAGGCCCCCAGCCCTCCTCCCTCAGACCCAGGCCCCCAGCCTCCTCCCTCGGGACCCCCACCTCCCGTTCTCTCTCTGCAGGATGGTGCATCTTCTCAGCCCTGAGCTGGGGGCCTGCGTGGCCCCTGGGGGACGCCTGGTGGTGGAGTTAGCCCGGTGAGTCCCGGGAGCGCAGGGCAGGGCACCAGGCTGGGGACGGAGAGCCGGATCCGCTACCACGGGGCTTGTCCATCTCAGGTACCTGGTGGACGTGCGGCCAGAGCAGCTGCAGGCATTCTCCGACCGGGTCGGGGAACTGGCTCAGGCAGCTGGATTCGCCCCCCAGCCCGGGGCCGGGCCCTCTGAGACCTTCGCGCGCTTCTGCAAGTCCGGGGACTCAGCTCCAGGAGACCTGGATGTGGAATCCGGGACTCCGCCCCCTGACGCCCTGGCCCTGTCCCCTGATGCCATGAACCCGTCCCCTGATGCCATGAACCCGCCCCCTGATGCCCTGGCCCCGCCTCCTGAAGCCCTGGCTCCGCCTCCTGAAGACATGGCTCCACCTCCTGAAGCCATGGCTCCGCCTCCTGAAGACATGGCTCCACCTCCTGAAGACATGGCTCCGCCTCCTGAAGACATGGCTCCGCCCACTGAAGCCATGGCTCCGCCCACTGATGCCCTGGCCCCGCCTCCTGAAGCCCTGGCTCCATTCCCTGAAGCCATGGCTCCGCCTCCTGATGTCCTCGTCCCGCCCCCAGAGGCAACAAACCCGCCCTCGGAGGGCCTGACCCAGCCCCTCCAAGGTCAACCCCCCCCTGAACCCCTCCAACTGCCCTCAGAGTCCCCGGCTTCTTCACTCGAGGCTTCCGCTCCGCCCACAGGGAGTCAGAGCCGCCCAAACCAGAGAGTCTGAGGGGACCCTCAGGGACCCCCTCCCCACCTCTCACTTCCAAAGCCGGGTCCTGGAGCTGCACCCTCCACACGCTCGCTCAGCCCCCAGAGACGTGGCTGGAATCTCAGATTCCGTTTCTGAGATCCTATAGTCTGCCCCTGGAATTCTAGATGGTTCGCTCAGAGTCCCACTCTCCACTCCCGACACTGGAAACGCAGCCCAGAGACCGGCCCTGAGCCTCGGGGGCTCCGTGGGGGTCCCCGGTGCTCTGCGGGGTCCCCCAGATGTCCCAGGCCTAAGCAGCTGTCTCCCCTCCTGCAGCTGCTCTGCACCCACGGATTCAAATAAAGAGCAGAGACTTGTCAGCCTTGCCTGTGTCCCCGTGTCCGTCCTCCGTCCGGCTCTGGGGCTGGGCGTGAGGGGGGGGGGGGGCGGGAGAGGGCAGGAGAGGACAGCCAGACCACATTCCTGGTTTTCCAAGCGGCCTGGGATTGCCCTGCACCACACACGTGGATCCTCAAATAAATCAACAAAAATGGATCCCGTGGCAACCGGCTTCGGCACTGATACTGGCCATCAGGTGATGGAAGGACAGACCAGGCTGCCCTGGCCGGTGTGGCTCAGGGCATAGAGCGTCGGCCTTCGGGCTGAAGGGTCCCAGGTCTGATTCTGGTCAAGGGCACATGCCCATGTTGTGGGCTCAGTCCCCAGTAGGGGGAGTGCAGGGGGCAGCCAATCAATGATTCCCTGTCATCACTGATGTGTCTATCTCTCTTCCTCTCCCTTCCTCTCTGAAATCAATAAAAATATATATATTTTTTAAAATAGACAAGGCTTCTCCTCATAGACGTGGCAGTTTAGGGAGGGGCTGGGGGCCTGGGCTCCTGGGTCTGAGGAAGGAGTGGCTGGGCTCCTGGGTCTGAGGGAGGAGGGCTGGGGGCCTGGGCTCCTGGGCCTGAGGGAGGAGTGGCTGGGCTCCTGGGTCTGAGGGAGGAAGGCTGGGGGCCTGGGTACTGGGTCTGAGGGAGGAGGGGCTGGGGGACTGGGCTCCTGGGTCTGAGGGAGGAGGGGCTGGGGGCTGGGCTCTGATGCTGAGGGAGGAGGGCTGGGGGCCTGGGCTCCTGGGTCTGAGGGAGGAGGGCTGGGGGCTGGGCTCTGGGTCTGAGGGAGGAGGCTGGGGGCCTGGGCTCCTGGGTCTGAGGGAGGAGGGGCTGGGGGCCTGGGCTCCTGGGTCTGAGGGAGGAGGGCTGGGGGCCTGGGCTCCTGGGTCTGAGGGAGGAGGGCTGGGGGCTGGGCTCTGGGTCTGAGGGAGGAGGGCTGGGGGCCTGGGCTCCTGGGTCTGAGGAAGGAGGGGCTGGGGGCCTGGGCTCCTGGGTCTGAGGGAGGAGGGGCTGGGGGTCTGGACCCCTGGGTCTGAGGGATGAGGGGGTCAGAAGCCGGATTCCCAGGCAGCTCTGTGTCGGGATGATCCAGCTGGAGCACCGCCCGCCCCACCCCTCACGCGCCCCGTTATCTCGCTTCCTGGGCAGGGGGAGGGGGAGCCGTATATTTAGTCGCTGCCCTCGCCCTTTATCAGTGTCCTCAGTGAGGCCTGAGCAGCCCGGACGGGACTGAAGTCCCCGGGGCCCTCAAGGTCACCCCGGACGCCCCTCGCTGACTCTCCAGGAGCCTCTTATCCCTTCTCTGCCCCCTCCGGCTCCCGGCCGAGTCTCAGCATGGCGGACGAGTGAGTGCATGCAGGTCTCCTGAGCCCGAGGCGGGGGGAGGTGGGCGATCTCCTGCAGGGGTGAGGCCCGCGAGGCTGGACCCCCTGGCCTGAGAAAGGAGGCGGGGTGGGGGGGATCAGGACTCCTGGGGGTCCGAATGCGGTTAAGAGTTTGGGAATCAGCCGAAACCGGTTTGGTTCAGTGGGTAGGGCGTCAGCTTGCAGACTGAAAGTCCCAGGTTCGATTCCAGTCAAGGGCATGTACCTTGGTTGTGGGCACATCCCCATTGGGGGGGGGGTGCAGGAGGCAGCTGATGGATGTTTCTCTCTCATCAATATTTTGACTCTCTCTTCCTCTCTCTTCCTCTTTGTAAAAAACCAATAAAATATATTTAACGAAGAAGAAGGAGAAGAAGAAAAAAAGAGGCCCCTCCTGGCCTCTCTTAAAAAAAATAAAATAAAAAGAATTTGGGAGTCAGACTCCTTGGACCGGAGACGGGGAAGTTGGTGGCAGGGCCTCTCGGTCAGAGGGGCTTTCTGGGGTCCCTTTGGGGGCGGACGGGACAGATCAGAGGCCCACCATGAACCCCCTTTCCTGCTTTCTCTCCCCCCCTCAACCCCCAGGAGCGGCAATGCGGTGAGAGCGGGCAGGGCTGCACCTCCGGGCGGGGCGGGGCGGGAGGCTGCAGCCCTAGCGGAGGGCAGGGAGCGGGGCTGAGGGTGCGGGTGGTGACCCGGCTCCGCCCCCGGACCCCAGGCTGGGGAACCCGCACCGGCCCCGATGCGACGCCGCTCCTCCGCCAACTACAAGGCCTACGCCACCGAGCCGCACGCCAAGGTGAGCCAGACCGCGCGGTGGGCGGGGCCTGGGAGAAGGGGCGGGGCCATATCCTTAGTGGAGGCGTGGTTTAGGCCTTGGGCGGAGCCCAAGCGGATGACGAAGTGTGAGGGGCGGGGCTTAGCGCCCGGACGGACCGGGCTCGGATTGGTGAGCGCTGCTTATGGGCGGAGTTTCGTTGCTCGTGGGAACCGCGTTGGCCTACGAGGTGGTGGGCGGTGCCTAGCCAGAGTCAGAGGCCCAGATTGGTGGATTGGGCTGAGGGGGCGTGGCCTCTCGCACTCTGAGTGCTGGGATTGGAGGCGGGCTCAAGTCTGGGCCGGACTTGGGGGGGGGTGTGAATTCTTAAGCCCCGCCCACTGCCTGCCTTTGGGTCCCTCTTCCCGCCTCCTATTTCTCTCCATCTCAACCCCGCAGAAAAAGTCTAAGATCTCCGCCTCGAGAAAACTGCAGCTGAAGGTGAGAACCGGCCTGGAGAGGGAGCCTGGGCGTCCTTGGGGGCGGGGCTTGAGGCTTCGAATGTGTGAGTGGGTGGGGCTTGGAGAGCTGGGTTTGGGGGCGCGGCTTTGCAGCCGGGGGACCCTCTCTGGAACAGCGGGCCTGGGGATGATGGACCTTGAGTGGACGCGACTCAGAAAGACCCAAGTCCATCCGAAACCGGTTTGGCTCAGTGGCCTGCGGATTGAGGGGTCCCGGGTTCGATTCCCGTCAAGGGCATGTACCTTGGTTACGGGCACATCCCCAGTGGGAGGTGTGCAGGAGGCAGCTGATCGATGCTTCTAACTCTGTCCTTCTCCCTTTTTCTCTGTAAAAAAAAAAAAAAAATCAATAAAAATATATATTTAAAAAAAAAAAAAGAAGAACAAAAAGAAAGACCCAAGTCCAGAGCTGGGATCAGAGGACCCGGGCGGGTGGAGGCAGCCTTCCAGCGGGTCTTCATCTCGCTCCCCCCACGTGGGTTGAGGTCCGGCCTCCCTCTGCCCCTCCACCCCCACCCCCTAGACCCTGATGCTGCAGATCGCGAAGCAGGAGCTGGAGCGCGAGGCGGAGGAGCGGCGCGGGGAGAAGGGGCGCGCCCTGAGCACGCGGTGCCAGCCCCTGGAGCTGGCCGGGCTGAGCTTCGAGGAGCTGCAGGTACAGGCTCTGAGCAGGGTCCCGTCCAGCCCGAGGCCCGGGCTCCTCTGGCACTCACTACCCTTTTTCTTCTGCTCAGGACCTGGGGCCCAATCTCCCCATTTTTACCCTCACCAGATCACACGTATGTATGGCCTCCGATCCCAGAGAGTGGTTCCTCTGTTCCTACTTCTGTAGATTCTCATGGTTATTGGCTCTGGAGTTCAGCTTTGTTCGAAGTTTCCAGAGACCAGCTTTCGTCTGCTTCACAACTCTCCTCCCCCAGACCCAGGCCCCCAGCCCTCATCCCCCAGACCCAGGACCCCAGCCTCCTCCCCCAGACCCAGGACCCCAGCCCCTCTACCCTTCTCCCTCAGACCCGGGAGCCAGGCCTCCAGCCTCCTCCCTCAGACCCAGGAGCCCAGGCCCCCAGCCCTCCTCCCTCAGACCCAGGAGCCCAGGCCCCCCTCCTCCTCCCTCAGACCCAGGAGCCCAGGCACCCAGCCCTCCTCCCTCAGACCCAGGAGCCCAGGCCCCCAGCCTCCTCCCTCAGACCCAGGAGCCCAGGCCCCCAGCCCCTCCTCCCTCAGACCCAGGAGCCCAGGCCCCCAGCCCCTCCTCCCTCAGACCCAGGGGTCCGGGTCCCCAGCCCTCCTCCCTCAGACCCAGGAGCCCAGGCCCCCCTCCTCCTCCCTCAGACCCAGGAGCCCAGGCACCCAGCCCTCCTCCCTCAGACCCAGGGGTCCAGGTCCCCAGCCCTCCTCCTCAGACCCAGGAGCCCAGGCCCCCAGCCCTCCTCCCTCAGACCTAGGGGTCCGGGTCCCCAGCCCTCCTCCCTCAGACCCAGGAGCCCAGGCCCCCAGCCCTCCTCCCTCAGACCCAGGGGTCCGGGTCCCCAGCCCTCCTCCCTCAGACCCAGGGGTCCGGGTCCCCAGCCCTCCTCCCTCAGACCCAGGAGCCCAGGCCCCCAGCCCTCCTCCCTCAGACCCTGGGGTCTGGGTCCCCACCCCTCCTCCCTCAGACCCAGGAGCCCAGGCCCCCAGCCTCCTCCCTCAGACCCAGGAGCCCAGGCCCCCAGCCTCCTCCCTCAGACCCAGGAGCCCAGACCCCCAGCCCTCCTCCCTCAGACCCAGGGGTCCGGGTCCCCAGCCCTCCCCTACCACACCGCCACCTCTTTCCCAGGACTTGTGCCGGCAGCTCCACGCCCGCGTGGACAAAGTGGACGAGGAGAGATACGATGTGGAGGCGAAAGTCACCAAGAACATCACGGAGGTGGGAGGCACGGGCACTGGGGGGTCCCCGTCAGGTCCGGGTGTTAGGCCCTCCATGCCTGGCCCCTCGTGGTGGAGGACACCGGGGGACCCAGGTCGGCTCCGTGTGTCCGGCCGGGAGCGGGCAGAAGGCTGGCTACAGGATGGCCAGGCCAGACCGCTCCAGGCAGGGGGAGGTGGGACAGCAGAAGACAGGTGAAATGTGTGATGGGAGCGCCCAGCGTTGCTGAAGGAGCGGAGGCGTGGACAGGGGACCCTGAGAGGCGGCTAGCTGGGCGGGGATGTGTCCCTGGTTGTCAGGGAGACAAGGCTGAGGCGGATCTGGGAGGGTTTCCAGGTCAGAAGGAAGTGAGGGGATTTCACCCCAGGCATGGGAGCCTTGGCTAGGACAGGCCTGGGCAGGGCCTGGGCTGGGAAAGGAGGGGAGGGGACGGGGAGGAGTGGGGGGAGGCGGAAGTGGAGGGAGCAGTGGTCTCTATTCCCCTTGTTTCCCCCACCCCCACCCCCACCCCAACCCAGATCGCAGATCTGACCCAGAAGATCTTTGACCTCCGCGGCAAGTTCAAGCGGCCCACCCTGAAGCGGGTGCGCATCTCGGCGGACGCCATGATGCAGGCGCTGCTGGGCACCCGGGCTAAGGAGTCCTTGGACCTGCGCGCCCACCTCAAGCAGGTGAAGAAGGAGGACACGGAGAAGGTGAGTGGCTGGGCCGGAAAGGGGCCTAGCGGAGGGGGTGTGGGGGCAGCAGTCCCAGGCTGGCCTCCGGGCGAGGACTTTGGAATTGGAGGGAGAAAAATCTGGAAGTACAGGAGGGGCACAGGAAGTGCACCAGGAAGACAGGAAGTAGAAGGGGGAGGCTAGGAGTGCATTAGGACAAGGGAAGTAGCATGGAGTCAGAATAGGAATAGGGGTTATAGGAAGTGCTTGAGAGAAGAGAGACAGGAAGTACAGGAGGGAGACAGGAAGTGCAGGAGGAAGTACAGGAGGGAGACAGGAAGTGCAGGAGGGAGACAGGAAGTGCAAGAGGGAGACAGGAAGTGCAGGAGGGAGACAGGAAGTTCAGGAGGGAGACAGGCAGTATAGGAAGGATACAGGAAGTGTGGGAGGGAGACAGGAAGTATAGGAGGGAGACAGGAAGTGCAGGAGGGAAACAGGTGGTGCAGGAGGAAGTACAGGAGGGAGACAGGCAGTATAGGAAGGTTACAGGAAGTGTGGGAGGGAGACAGGAAGTGCAGGAGGGAGACAGGAAGTTCAGGAGGGAGACAGGAAGTGCAGGAGGGAAACAGGTGGTGCAGGAGGAAGTACAGGAGGGAGACAGGCAGTATAGGAAGGTTACAGGAAGTGTGGGAGGGAGACAGGAAGTGCAGGAGGGAGACAGGAAGTTCAGGAGGGAGACAGGAAGTGCAGGAGGGAAACAGGTGGTGCAGGAGGAAGTACAGGAGGGAGAACAGGCAGTATAGGAAGGTTACAGGAAGTGTGGGAGGGAGACAGGAAGTGCAGGAGGGAGACAGGAAGTGCAGGAGGGAGACAGGTGGTGCAGGAGGGAGACAGGAAGTGCAGGAGGGAGACAGGAAGTGCAGGAGGGAGACAGGAAGTGCAGGAGGGAGACAGGAAGTGCAGGAGGGAGACAGGAAGTGCATGGATCAGTGTGGATGGGATGCTGAGGGGCAGGGAGTGCTCCAGAACCAGACCCTCGGTCAGAGTGGCCCCTCAGGCTGGAGGGCGGTTGGAGGGCATTTGAGGGAAGACATTCTCACCTCTGACCCCGTCTCCCCAGGAAAACCGGGAGGTGGGAGACTGGCGCAAGAACATCGACTTGCTGAGTGGCATGGAGGGCCGCAAGAAGAAGTTCGAGGGCTGAGCCCCCACCCGCGGGCCGCCGCCCGGCCGCCCACAGCCCTGAGGAATAAAGCCGTGTCTGAGCGGGGAGGCTGTGTGCGTGTGTGTCTGCCCCCCGGGGCCAGGGTGTGGGGGTGGGTTAATCGAGGGCCGGCCCCGGAAGCCACGGGCACCTCAGGGGCAGACCTGGGTCTCCAGCAGGGGGCGATCTGGGCGCCTCTGCTCTGGGGGGAGGGCACCGGGCTGCTGAGACCCAGGCTCACAGAGACACACCAAGAATGAGAGGGAGAGGGGGAAGCCAGGTTCGTGGGAATCAGTGCAAAGACCCAGAAACTGGAGAGGGAGACACACAGACAGAGCTGAGGCAGACATGAAGGCCCCGGGGGTAGGGGTGGGGGGGTGGGGGTAACTTCAGGGACACAAGGACCCAGAGGAGCCAAAAAGGGAGGGACAGGGGCACCGCCAGAGAGACACGGGGTCACAGACAGACACACGAGGGACAGGCACTCACAGATGCAGCCGCAGGAACACACAGAGACCTCTGGCTGGTGAGCCCAGTGGTTAGAGCTCAGTTCCCAGCTGCGGGCTCTCGGGTTTGATTCCTGGCCAGGGGCAGGAGCCCGGCTGCAGCTTCCACCCCCAGCCCCAGTTGGGGCGCATGCAGAAGACAAGCAGTCCATGCGCCTCTCTCTCTCATCAATGTTTCTCTCTCTCTGCTCCTCCTCCTCCTCTCTCCCACTCTGGATGCCCTAGACAGGAAGACAGAGGGCATCTCCTCAGAAGGGTCTCCTAAGCCCTCGGTCGGCAAACCGCGCGGCTCTTGGGCCCCTGGAGGGTGGCTCTCCCACAGAATACCACGGCCCCGGGCGAGGCTGTCTTGAAGAAGAGGCGGGAGAAGTTGTTTAAACAATGTGGCTCTCTAAAGAGAAATGCCAATCGCTGTGCTGTTGATATCTGGCTCTGCGGACTCATGGGTTTGCCGACCACTGTCCTAGGCCAAGTGAGGACAGGCTCAGGAACCCAAAGTGGAAAAATACCCTCAAATGAGGATGAACGAACAAACAGACAAACAAAAGAAGGCTCGGAGGGACACAGACGCGGGGGAAGAACACAGACGCAGACACAGAGCCCAAAGCAGAGGGGCCCAGGGGAGCTGCGGAGAAATGCACAGAGAGGGAGACAGGGATTGGAGGCAGCGAGACAACACAGGCCCGGAGGGAGGGGTGAGGGCTGCAGTGCTCGCTGGCCAGGGCTGGCTCCACGGAGGTCAAGGTCGTGGCTTGGCAGGGAAGGAGGGATGGAGATACCAAAAAAGGCCCCGTCAGATGAGGGGGGGGGGGGGGAGACAAGGTCCAGTGGGCCTCACACCCTCCCGGTCCCCTCCCCCACGCACACCTGCTTCCCGGCTTTAGCGCCTGTTGTCACCGGGGTGGAATCCGGGCAGACAAAGGGTGGGGGCGGGGAGGGGGAGACAAAGACGGATGGAGGGACACACAGTGGAGAGGCCCAGAGAGGAAGGCGAGACAGAGACAGAGAGACAGGACAGGGGGCAGGGGGAGGGGGGAGAACAGGAGCCTGGGAAAGGGGAACCGTCCCCGCACCCGCCATCCATAGGCAGTCTCACCCTGGCCAGTGTTGCTCAGTGGGTAGAGCGTCGGCCTGAGGCCCCACGGATCCTGGGTTCGATTCCGGTCAAGGGCACAGGCCCGGGTTGCGAGCTTGATCCCTAGGAGGGTGTGCAGGAGGCAGCCGGTCCGTGATTCTCTCTCATCCTGGATGTTTCCGTCTCTCCCGTTCTCTTCCTCTCTGAAATCCATAAAAATATAGTATTTCTGAAAGCCCTCCTGACTGGTTTGGCTCAGCGGATAGAGCGTCGGCCTGTGGACTGGAGGGTCCCAGGTTCGATTCCGGTCAAGGGCACGTACCTTGGTGGCGGGCACATCCCCGGTGAGGGGGGTGTGCAAGAGGAAGCTGATCGATGATTCTCTCCCATCGATGTTTCTAACTCTCTATCCCTCTCTCCTCCTCTCTGTAAAAAAACGATAAAATACATATATTTTTAAAAAGTAAAATAAATAAAAATGCATTCTCTAAGCCCAGGGCTGAACACAGGGAGTGGCACCACATGCAGTGCCCCAGGGCGGGGTGGGGGGTGGGGCGCAGGGGTCCCTGGCCAGCCCTGAGCTCCCAGGAGCTCATGGGGGGAAGGGTCCACGCAGCCAGCAGAGGCCTGGATCACGGACCTGGAGCCAGCGGGGCCGGGCGGCCTCTGCAGGGGGCTGGGGGGGCGAAGGGGGCGGCGAGGCCCAGCGTTTGGGGAAAGGAATTCCCCCTCCCTCCCCCAGGGGGCGGGGCTGAGCTCCCTATAAACGGGGGTGCCGCAGCTGCCCCTCACGTTCCTGCCTCTGCAGACCCCGCTTTAGGTACAGCTCCCCGCGATCCAGGTGGGAGAGGCGGGGCGAGGAGGGGAGGGAGGGATGAGGCGGAGGGGCCTGGGGATGAGCATTTGGGGGTGGGGGACACACACAGAATCTGGGGGCGCCTGGATTGGGGTGTCCCAGAAAATGCCCTCAAGCCCCCGGAGGTCTGAGTCAGGGACTCCCAGAACAGGGGGGTGTCTGGGCTTGGGTGGCAGTCCCAGAGTCTGCATGTCAGGAATAGGGGAGGGGGGCAGAGTCAGAACCGGGGTTCTGGGAGTTGAGGGTCCAAGGGGGTGGGGTGCTCAGAGGGGGCGGGCGAAATTCCTCCTGGTGACATCCTCAGGGGCAGCGGGAATTGGGGCTCTGAGTCTGGGCACCGGTTTTGGGGTCTCAGGATCATGGGGCATCAGAAACGGGGTCTCCGAATCTGGGCGGGGCCCCGTGAGCCGTGAACTGGGAGTGCCAGGCTCTGTGGGCACTGGGGTTTGGGCACCTCGGGGGCCGGGGGGGGATGCCAGAGATTGGGGGGGTCCACTTAGGGGTGAGGGTGAGGCCTGGGGGAGCCCTGGTCTCGGGGCGTCCCTCCTCCTCCGGGGCTGTGGGTGAAGGTAAGGGAGGCAGGTGGGGAGACCCCGGCCGGACGGAGGGGTGGTCAAGGAGGGGGAGAGAAGTGGGGGTGACTAACTCTCCCCGAACCCCCCCCCTCACTCACACGCACTCAGACCCTTTTTAAGAGATGTCCTCTGTCCTCCTGGAGGGCATCCCCCCGAAATAGCCCCTGGGGGTGGGGCGGCTATTGTCTTCAGGACACCCGCCTCCCAAATGCCCTCCTAATCCCACTGAGATCGGGTTCCAGGCCCTGTCACCAGACAAAGGAGGACAGCTGGGGGGGGGGTGCAGGGGGCTGGGGCTGGGCCAGACCTCCTCCCTCAGACCCAGGAGCCCAGGCCCCAGCCTCCTCCCTCAGCCCCAGGCCCCCAGCCTCCTCCCTCAGACCCAGGAGCCCAGGCCCCAGCCTCCTCCCTCAGCCCCAGGCCCCCAGCCTCCTCCCTCAGACCCAGAAGCCCAGGTCCCCAGCCTCCTCCTCCCTCAGACCCAGGAGCCCAGGCCCCCAGCCCTCCTCCCTCAGACCCAGGAGCCCAGGCCCCCAGCCTCCTCCCTCAGACCCAGGAGTCCCCCAGCCCCTCCTCCCTCAGACCCAGGAGCCCAGGCCCCCAGCCCCTCCTCCCTCAGACCCAGGAGCCCAGGCCCCCAGCTTCCTCCCTCAGACCCAGGAGTCCCCCAGCCCCTCCTCCCTCAGACCCAGGAGCCCAGACCCCCACCCCTCCTCCCTCAGACCCAGGAGCCCAGGCCCCCAGCCCTCCTCCCTCAGACCCAGGAGCCCAGGCCCCAGCCCTCCTCCCTCAGACCCCCCCCCCACCTTCTCTGTGGTCCTCAGGTCGCACCAGGATGTCGGACACGGAGGAGCAGGAATATGAGGAGTGAGTGATGTGGCGAGAGGACTGGGGGTCTGGGGAAGTGGGGACCCTCTTTCTCTCCCAGCCTCTAACTCTCTCTCTCTCTCTCCCCGGGGGTCCCCCGCACCAGGGAGCAGCCAGAAGGTGAGAGGGGAGGGCACCGGCATTGGAGGTGGGGGGCGGCAGGCGGGCCTCCTGGGAGGGGCATTGCAGGGAAGCCCACCCTCCTGGTTTCCTGAGAGTTTTTTTTTTTTTTAAATATACTTTATTGATTTTTACAGAGAGAAATGGAGAGGGATAGAGAGTTAAAAACATCGATGAGAGAGAAACATCGACCAGCTGCCTCCTGCACACCCCCCACCGGGGATGTGCCCGCAAACAAGGCACACGCCCTTGACCGGAATCGAACCTGGGACCTTTCAGTCCGCAGACCGACGCTCTATCCACTGAGCCAAACCGGCTTCGGCTCTTTTTATTTTTTAAAAATATGTGTTTATTGATTTTACAGAGGAAGGGAAAGGGGAGAGAGAGAGAAACATCAGTGATGAGAAAAATCACGGATCAGCTGCCTCCTGCACGCGCCCCCTACTGGGGATGGAGTTCGCAACCCGGGCATGTGCCCCGACCGACCGGGAATCGAACCCGGGTCCTCCTTGTTTGAGGGCAAAGCTCACTGCCCCCCGCACGCCCACCTGTGACCCCAACCGGGGCCTCTGCCCGGCTCCCGGGCTCCTAACGGCCTCCCCCTTTGCCCCCCGCCCCTTGCAGAGGAGGAGGCTGCGGAGGAGGAGGAGGAAGGTGAGGCCCGGGACCAGGACGCAGCAGCTGCAGCTGGAAGCGGGCCGGGGAGGGGGAGAGGGGAAGGGAGGGGGGTCTGGGGGGGAGGGGGACCGTTGTCCCCCCGGTGGCAGCTGGGGTGGGGGCTCCCCAGGACCTGGGTTTCAGCTCCTCTAACAGCCTCTCCCCTCTCTCCCCTCCCGCACCCCGCACCCCGCGCCCCGCGCCCCTTCGTGGCCGCCCCCCCTTCCCGCACCTCCCCCCCCCCTGGCTTCTCCCTGCCCCCCCGCCCCCCTCCCCAGCCCCCGAGGAGCCGGAGCCGGTGGTAGAGCGAGGTAACCGCGGCCGCTTCGCTTCCTGAGGATGATTTCGGGGCTCCCTTCCCCCTAGTCCCCCCCCCCCCCCCCGCCCCGATATCCACGCCCCGCCCCCACCC